GCCACCGAAGCGGCTGCTTTTGTACGAATTTTGAGTGACGGGTTAATCTTCTATAATCTTGTAGGGGGACAATAGCGACTTCTGTGACACACAAAAGGCATTCTCGGGAAGAAGGGAGTTCCTCCTGCTCCTCTTTTCTCGTCGTGGCTGGAGGCGAGACAACCTCCGTCACTAGCTGCCAAGGTTGCTAGACGGGCATTACAAGCGAGTCGTTAGCGACATGCACCAGGTGCTCTTTGCTAATCGTTTAATTCGTTTTAAAATTCCTTTTTGTGACTTTTTTAACAAGATATTGGTATGTTCGATTTGATGGTGCCTATTTGAACACATATAGACCAAACAATGAGCGCCGAAATTTCGTTGTAGTATCCCTTTAAACAAGCACGTAGCAATCTAAAAAAAAAAAAAAATTCTGGTTTAAGTTTTAAGAATGGCATAAGTGTGGGAGAGGGCTATCGCCTCTCCCATCATAAAAATTCCAATTCCCCTTCCTCTCCCCCCCCCCCCCCCCCCCCCCCAAAACGATTCCTGGCTACGCCACTAGGCTGGCTTGCAACTTCTAATAAATTATGGCAGGTTGTCGGTCGTTATATCTTCAAACTATTTTGAACACTATTTTCTCGCACACCGCCAGCGCTTGTTTGTGAAGAAGGCCTGTTTCTGTGAATTCACAGCTGTGGCAATTTACAGAATTTACAGGCAATGAGGTGGCATGTATCTCAACCCAAAACTGAGTTTTAACACAATTCTATTTTATTTTTATTAAATGGCTGCACAGAAATTACGTAATCCTACATGAAGTTTTGCTTTAATAGCAGAATGCTCTCCCGTATTTATACCCTACTTAAAGGGCAACTCCACTTCATTTTTCCTTTTGAAAAAAACAATGCAGTCCTCTTCAGTGTCACCTTGGAAGACCACACGTCAAATATTATGACATAGTAGTTCAGTCTAAATGTTTCTTTAACGGTCCGGCAAACTTTGCAACTCGCCAAGTTGCCGAAATCGGCTGACTCAAGCAGGCGAATTGAGGCGCAACCAACAATGCAGTCAAGGCTACAGTGTGGGCATAGCCAACATTGAGCTAAACGTCATCACCATTGCCCCCTTTTGCTGTTTTTTACTTCTCAAGGCAAGCGTAATGGGTGACGTCAGCAACGTTTCCTCTTGGTGCTCAGCGGTGTCCACATGACTGGCGTAACGTGCCTGCACAGCACACTTCTTGCGAGCCATCTGGCCGCCCCACCGTCTCCCGCATCACAACCCCCATCGTCATCTCGCCGTTTGTGATTATTGTCTCTTGGAGTTTCATCCACACTACAGACACTATGTGTGCAGACTAATTCCACAGCTGTGCAGACGTCGTCGAATGTCGTAGACACCAAAACATTGTGAAGAGTGCAGTGCAGACGACACTTGGGCCTGACACACACCTGCCCCAATCCTGCCCGTTATTGCGCCATGTTCTTGGCGGCCCACGGCCAATGTTGCCAGATGAAGCCGAAATTTCGGTTTCTGCTCGTGTTTAAAATTAGATCCAAAAATATATACCGTAATATCCCGAGTCATCGCCCACCCTCCTACCGCCTGAAATTCATTAAAAAAGTGGGGTGGGCCATGTCTCGGTGGGTGATCACAAACACTTGAAAAAAAGCGGAAAAAACCGCCTATTTTTCTCTGCGTATCTAGCGCTGATGCACAAGAGATACATCAAACTCAAAACTCGATTTAGTTTCGTTGTTTTATAGAAAAAAATGCTCACGAAAGAATATTTTATTATAGCGAAGTCCGCTGCTTGCATACGCGCTAGAAGCACCGCCGATCTGCATATAGCGCGAACGTTTGCTCCGTGAAAGAATGTCACCACTATGTACTCCTAGTTAGTAAAAAAAAAAAAAAAAAGAAAGAAAAGTCTACAAGAAAATAGAAAAACCGACCAGGCGCAACGAGCGAGCGAGCGAGCGAGCGGACCAAAGAAGCGATCAAAAGCAATGCTGGGAAAGCGGGAAAGCCGGCGGTCGCGTTGGCAAATACTTTGGCGTCGGGCCAAGTCGGGCGCCTTGTCAATTGCAAGCTCTTGCGCAACTTTCTTGTTTGGTGCGTACATACGTGCGTCCGTGCACGGCGGGCTATGAATGCACGGTTGGGACGCTCTGCAAACGTCTGTGTAGGGCGTTCCAGCAAAGCTTTATTTACGCGTTGGCTTTGCCTAAAATATTGCACAACCGCGGTCGCGACGGGCGGGAAGGAGGAGCGGGTTCGCGGTGACCTTACTTCGGCGGAGACAGACATTGACCTAACACTCCGCGGTTACGTTAACAAACTCTTATTTTGTTATCTCCATCGTTTTCTTTTCGCACGATACACGACCACTTTGGGGTCGCTCACGGAGGAAATGCGTAAACAAAAAGCAGTGTCTTTCCCTCCTTCGTTTTACTTTGTCACGGACGTCCTCCAACTGTAAGGTCCGCGGCCGCGTCATTCGGGTAGGATGGGTGTTCGCGGATCGCTGAGTCCGCGCTGGGGTATTTGAAGGGGTGGGCGATGACTCGGTGTTTTTTTCGGAAATCGATATTGGCCCAAAAAATGGGGTGGGCGATGGTTCGGGGATGGGCGATGACTCGGGATATTACGGTATTCTATTTTTCTCGAAGCAACAATGTATGTTTTACTAGGGCGTTTTAATGTGAAATCACTTATTATCCCGAAATCTTCGGAAATGAGCGGAGTTGCCCTTTAACAACCTCAATTAAATCACCGTTTGCAATTTTCTTTTGTGGGGGAGGGGGAAGCCAGTTGCAGGATTGATATTTCAGACACAGATTTGGTTTATCTCACCAAGTCATTCGACAAATGTTGGCCAACACTCCCTTTAATTACTCTACAGTGCCCGCTTGCCTCATTTTATCTTCTACAACATGGAGATTCTAAACGGCCCAAAACCCAACAGCACACCATGACCACCGAAGTTTCACTGCACAGTGTTGTTGCCAAAGAAATGTGTGGAATACATGATACATTTACATGCTCTGCAAGTTAGCAGTGTATCCTCACCTGACAAACTTTCCACGTATAAGCATGAGGAAAGCCACCTTGACCATGTTCCAGTTAGACCTCCCACCGTAGTTCATGTTGTTTAGTGCCTTTGCCACGTGAGAGTGGCAGTTGTCACAAAATAAGTTGTGCTGCATGGGAGACAAACACGTTAACATGAAATTGTAATTGTAACCGTTTGTTTCTTGTCGTACACTGAACAATGACGCATCTCTGTTACATATGCCTTTTCTCCTTTGGTATCATTGTGACCTTTTTGCAGTTTTCAAGAAGCCAATTGAAATATGCTTTGCCCAACTCTCAAAGATGTTTAGGTAAGCCTTCAGAGCAATAGCAAGCGACTTGTATATTCAGTTCAAGCTTCCAGGAACGCATGTACCATAGTGTAAAGGAATTGATAGGTTTGAAACCGCACTTACCACTCTAGAGAACTGTGCAACCACATTCGTGCTGTTGTGCCTTTGCATGGTGAATAGAGACTTACTGTGAAATGATGGTGTAATTTCACATACAAGCTCAATGACACCTTGGCGGAATAGGCCAAAGATAGATGATACATGAAGGCGAGCTGTTCCAATACCTAAAAGGGACCATCACCTCTCACTAGCTACATTTAGAAACATGGTCATAAACTTTCCTCCCAACAGATATATTTGTCTGCATGTTCACACTAACATGATGGACAGGCTCACATTCTTTTTTACAACTGCACTGATTTCTTGAGACTGCTACTCAAGATCTGCCTCACACTGTTGGTGTGTATGTCATACAGTGTTAGCTCTTATATCAAAGTCAAAGATAGCTCTAGGAATAACACTGTCACTAAGGGTAATATTTGTGCCGAGTGCCACGTCTGACAATATATCCCAATTTTTCTAGGAACAGACTCGAGGTCACCTCCATATGCCCGCCCTGTGCGGTAGCAGCCTTTGCACTGGACAATTAAGAGTGACGGATGCACCTGGTCACTTCCCACAGCCCGGTGATCACTATCTCGCAACTTTCGAGCCCTTCCGAGATTACCTCGCTGAGTTCAGCTTGCACATTTCAAGTGCTGCAAAAGCAAGGTTTGCGATATCAACAGGGTCTCTCTTTCGTCTGCCCTGCCTTCGCTGCAACTGTTTTGTCTCGGCGGTCGGGAGCTCCAAGTTTCACAGTAATCTAGCTGAAAACTGTGCAACCCGAAGATGTCCTTCCGAATCGCCACCTACTGATGGTTGACGAGTTTTTATTTGAGACAACAAAAGCTGCCACACTTCTGTTGACAACGGGTGCTGTGAACCTTATCACCTGTTAAAGAAATGACATGCTCGACAGTATAGAAGCAACAGTGATGTTGCAGAAACAACTCATGTAAGCGAAAGGTTACATTCCCATTGAAGCTTGGACCTCCGCCACACAAAAGAGAGCGAAAGAGGGGAAGGACACAACGCACCATGCGCCCCTTGTACTCGTCCGATGCCTGCGCGACGGCCCGATCCCAGCCTTGGACACCGTCCCTTGCCTTGGAGGGGTTCAGAGGCCAGTACCTGCATGAGTCATCGGCATGTATGAACGGACGCAATGTCTTCCAATGCCACGCGTTTATGAACCGCTGACTACTTATATTTAAAACAAATTATTCGCGTACTTTGAAGACTACTCCCGGAGAATCTTAGCAATCCGATGGTGATCACTCAATGTACTAAACTTGTCTAGAGGTACGAAAGGAGGACTGGCCTTGTGGGTCTGCCGAATGCCATGTGGTCTTCCTGAAACAGAAAAAAAAGATAGTAAAGAAAAGTCAGTCAAGGGTTTCTTGTAAATCGCCTACACGTCGAGACGGCCCGCATACCAAACCGTACTCACAGAGACGTAGTAAGGACCAGCGAAATCTCGGATGATTCCACTTGACGTGCAGATTCCCATATGTCCGAGGAAGGGAAAAAACCAGCTGGAAAACAAAACAGACGGGCCCATTTAAGGCGGCTGCAATGAGAGCGACGATCGATAAATAGTTAATTAATTAAGACGTACGTCATACAGGGAATCGGAGTCCATACTATGCAGAAGGGGAAACGATCGCGTGCGAAGTCGATTGCCGGCGATGGCATCTCATCGGCGAGAACGGATGCTTTATCGGAGGTATCACCGGCTGCCGAGAACATTCGCGAGAGAGCATAAATGCGATGCACGGGTCTAGAGCAGCGTGTGTTGACAAACACCGTTAAAACATGAGAGAACACCCAAGAACACCCGACGAATCTACGGAAGTCCACATCTGACAGCCATGATCAATGATGATGATGGAAAGGTGAAGGGCATTGAAGAGAAGCGAGAGAAGTGAGAGATTGACAGGAGGTAGAAGCAAGTAGAAGTGTAGGAGAGGGCATGACGTCAGTCGCGTAGCCTCCAAGCACCCTTTAGAGATTGTTGAGAGAAAAATATGAATGCATAAACATAAAAAAATTCTACAGTAAATTTGAACCTTGAAAATTGGGCGGCGGCTTGCGCCACGCAACTAGTGTGGTAATAAAAAAAGCATATAAATTAAGTTGGCTTATTATAATATAATTTACTTTTAAACAATGTTTTATGTAAATTATTTATATATAATATCAAACATTTTATGCTTTTACATTACGTTTAGTTTATTTTTAGTTTGCTTATATAACAGTCTTACAGCGCTTTCTAGCACTTTGCAATGATTTGATGTAATACGACGTAAGCCTAAATTAGCGTTTGCTCCTATTTTGATAGCTGCTTACTATCGTATTGACCTTATCTTGTCATGTAAATTGTAATGGGGGACAACATTTCATCGACACCTCAGAGAACGTGGAAAGGGTTGGTGAAGCTCCCGAGACTCTACAAAGTAGCAACTGGTATTCTGACGTCCCTTAGCGAGCAAAAGGGCTCACTTTACAATCACCTGTCTGCCGCCAAGCACAGAGTAAGCACTTCGTTTTTTAGCATTACGTTTCTTTCCGAGGTGAACGTCACGCCGATGCACGAACCATGTCATGGTTACCTCGGCGTCACCACTGCGCTCGCCGATACTGTTGGGCAAGCGTTTCCTTTCCTTGCTGTCTGGACTCGTGCAAACGCCCGTGGATGGCTATGCCATTGCTATTAGTGCACGTGATTTTCCTGGAAGAACGTTGTGGGGCCATGGTCGGTATTTTTTTTTTAACTCGTTTTAAATAACAAAAACGGGTCTCTCTTTTTCGTACGCGCTCTGCGTGGTCCGTGTTTGCCCCGCACGTGTGCTTCTAATGTTTTCCAGAACAAACATATCCTATTCCTAGCACGGGTGCTGCTCCACCACGCTTGCTTGCTTACTTTGGGCGTGTTGGTTGGGATCCGTTGAGTTTCCTGTGACTGGTGTTTGCCTTCGAGGCGGGGTCAGCTCTGCGTAGCCAATAAGGAATAAAAAAGGGGGACTGACGGAATAAACTGAACGAAGAAGAAAAGAAGGAACGCCTTGTCTCGTGGTTGTGCTAGTTAGCAGAGTTTGATGTAGCCTGTGTTTGGCGGTTGACTTCATGCATTCATGACGAAGTTTGCGAGTGAAATTAGGCAGTACAACAATGCCTGGAAGGCATTGTTGTACTGCCTAAGTCTTTCCTATATGAAGTTTTTGTGAAGTCACATTAAATAGTGGCGTTCGATTCATAAAATTACTTTCTTTTTTAATACCTGGTTTGTTTTGTCTAATTTTCTTTTGCTGCTTTAACAAATGAAAATTTTTGATCTCATTTTATTACGCAGGCCCTTTTTTTTATTAAGAATTTTAGTGTTTGTCAGTACGAAGTGATGATTGGAACAGAGGCATTGATGCAGGCATGCCACCATTTTGCCATCGTTTTGATTATTGCAGCTTCTTGCATGTTTGAAATGGTGTATTTGATGGGAGTTGCTGCATGCTCTAGCCATCAGGGCATTGTCAATCGAAATGCCGACAAAAGCCTTCTACAATGTAGAAGTGTATCTGATGTTTCAGTTGCATGTTAAAATAATTCCCCAGTCTTTAGCCGAAGTATCCTATCTGTCCTCCATTGCTTAGAATGTAAGCATCCACTGCGTAGGCGTTCATTTTTATAAATCTTGCCCAATCAATCTGTTGGTAGCACAGAATCGTCCTGAAAGCCCCTTGATGCATAGAACTTTATGAAGGCATATGGGTTGGCGCTTCGTTGTGACTGGTTGCATCTTTGTGGTCATGGACACTGAAAGAGATGATCGATAAAGAATTGTACAGTGAAGGAGCACATTCTCGTTTGCTGTTGACTTGCGAAAGTGACAGTGCCCGATAAAATACTACAGGCTGCAGGTTCATTGCCGCCATTAGTATGGCAAGAGTTAAACTGCCATTTCAGCCACCAGGTGACACATCATTTTGGAAAAGGTCTATTGACTGTAAATAATAAAGGCGAATGGCAATACACTTCGAGCTTTAAACTTCAACATTTCTACACCATAGCCAAAGCACCGCCTGCTTAGCTATACCATTGCAGAAATGTTTACAAAGTAGACCCCTCTATCTGTGATGGCCTCACTCGGAACTGATGCAAATGTTTTTTTTTTTCTTTTGTATTTGTTTGTATTGACTTGGTACAAGGGCAGCATTTGAGTGCCCCCTAGAATCTACATTAACATCTCCCCATGCTTTTTTGTTGCACCCTAGAGGACAGAATGCCTGGCTGCTATCCTCACAGGAATTGTGAGGCAGAGATCCACGCTAGAAGCCGTTCTGAAAGAAAGCCGGCTGCTCGAAGTCAACCCAGGCTTCAATCATGAGTTGGCACTGGTCCTTCTCTATGAGCTGCTCTTTAGCAACAAGAAGACACTTCCTGCCGGTAACAGCAGGATAAATCAGGTGCTAGCCTCCAGGGAAGCTATTGAGAAAGCTCTCAGGAAAGTGGAGAAGGCACAGGGGAAGGAAGCGGCAGTGGATGATCAAGCAGGTATTGCAGCGAGAATACCTTTTTCTTCTTGGTCTGAGAATGGAAGGATAATGAGGTGCCGTAGCATAGGCCATATCTGAGAGGTGTTAAGTCTGCATTTAGACTTGCCTTTTTAGGTGGTGTGGAATTTCGAAATCTAGCTTTTGTTTTTGGAACCTTGGGAGATGGCATCGGTGCCCCTCTAAGCTTGGTTAAGCTAGTTGTAGGTTGGGTTGCAGTTTCACTTGTGAGGGTCTTTGACAAGTTTGTCGTTGGTTTGCTGATTGACTGGTATCTGAGAGCTCTCCTTTTGCTTCTCACCGTTGTCTAAAGGTTTTCTCGCTAGTGGACTTCTTATTCTTATGTGTTTGCATTGCCTTCATTGTGGCCTGGTCTTTCGTTCCTTGTACATCCTTCTTTAGTGTCTTTCCAGTAAGAGTGATGGCATATTCCCTGGTTGTCTTCTGCTCTTTGTTTTGTCAACAAGTTGTTTGCAAGGAACAGGTTTCCTTCCCATTATTCTGCCGAACCTAGGATGACTTCAGACCATTGGGTGAAGAAGTCCTCAAGTTGAAGATATTCTATAATGTAGGTTTAACCTGCATCATCTCATTCACTGTTATTTGTTGTGCGAACAGATTGAGCGCGCAGTCGCTAGCCAATACCACTATAGCTATAACCATGCTTGAAGTTGTCAGATGAGAAAGGCATAAAGTAAAACCACACAAACACATTTCAGCAGAATCGATAGGACCTCTACACAAAGCCCCACAAACCTGACACCCTTCCAGGCGCTCATTCTTCTATGGTAGAAGCAAGCTCAGGCTTGAGTCAGGTGCATGCTGTCCTCTTAGGGTTCAGAAGAAAGTGTCGGTAAAAGTTTTATTCATTCGCTGTCCTCTCTTCTCTGTCTTGGTGCAGGTCTGAGGGCCGCCATGCTTAACCGCTTGTCTAGGGGCAGTCCCCTGAAGACTCTTCTCTTCTACACGGTGCTGATGGTGACTGTGCCCATCTCGGCCTTCTTTGTGGCCCAGTGGACAATGGGCCATTGGTTCGACATGTCTGTCACGGGCAGTTCCATTGGAGCAACCATCATCAGCGTGCTGTGTGTTCACGTCATTCTGGCCCTCTTTGTGTATGAGGCATACCACGAGGACTTTGTCGGCAGTGCCGTCACCGTGGCACAGAAGGAGGATTGAGCACGTCCGAACACTAGTCATTTCCGGGACTGGCCGTCTTCATGACTGGACTGGTGGAAGAAACATTCCTCGGCCTATTTGGGCACTTTGCTCTGCCATCAAGCTGTTGCACTGGGAAAGGATGGAATTGATGTGGTAATAAGTGTTATGGGAGGTCGCTCGATAAATGAATTCTTTACAGTAATTTCCGGTTTCTAGGGACTGCAGCTGGGTTGATTTTGAGGGTGCTTAAACTTTGGTCTTTCTGTTTAGGGCGGTAGTACTTTTCTGTTGCGTGGGGACAAACCTTTCGATTCATTGTAGTTGTAGTTTTCTGCTGGTGCATTTTCTCTTTCTTGCTGCTGGTACTTGGTGTTGGAGTTCAGAGTCCCACGTTACCCCCGAGATGACCGGGTGTCTTTTGATTCTTTATATGCTCGACAGGAGCTTGACAAACGCACGGCTGATCAGACCACTTGTCAGTCAACTTCTTGTTTGACTTAAAAATGGCCGCTCAACTGTATTAATCCAGAAAGTGAATAAACATTATGCATTGCATAAATTTTGGCCTTATGAAATCTTTTGGCACCTCATTGTCCTTCCACAGCTCTGTTGTTAGGTAAACTTTTCTTGCATATGTTCCCCACTTTACGGTTGTCATGCTTCTAGTGGTGCATCCCCCACGCTACGCCAGAGTCAACACAGTCCTAACCAACACCAAGGATGTGATTGAGCAGCTAGAGTCTTTGGGGTTCCATCGCAAGAGCTACAAGAAATCTCGCGGCTTCCAGGAGTGAGTGCTTTGTTTTGTTTTCTTGCATCTGCAAATGCCTCAAAGCTGCCTCAATAGAGGACATCCATATATATAGGGGTATGGAAATAAAACAAAATGTAGGTATAAAAAAAAAACTAACATTTTTTTTAAAACTCAATTTAAAAGGAAAAAGAAAGGCATTTTGAGCTCACTGAAAAAACGTCTGCACATTGTGTAAACTAGTTAATGTGTAAAATACCGAGCAAGCAGCCATCCAAGATTATAATCTTGACACTGGGGGATGGGCGCTTGTCAGGTTCGAGAGTGAAAATGCAGAAGGGCCACATGACGGGGTGGGCTTCACTGCTTTGCATCGGAGTGCTTGAAGAAGTGATTGATTGGGATGGAGCATCTCAGTTAGCCGGGTTGGCTCAGAAGTTTGGGCTGGGTGCTTTTATGTCCTTTGCTTAGTTTTGAAACATTCCAAAAGTAGCTAGTGGGCACTTAATGGGACATGGGTGCCTGCTCGGTGTTTCACATTAACAATTATTCCGACTTGCTGCAATCATATCCAAGCATGCAAATTTGAATCCTGCAAGTATATTGTCAAAATTGGACCTCTCCCATTTCTTTCTAAGGAATATTCCAGTTTCCTTTGCAATAATAAATCAAGCCTTTTTCATCCAAGGACAAAGATGAAAACGAAATGACGCCCAGTTTTTTTAGATTGCAGCTAGCACTTCAAACCCCCCCCCCCCCCCCCAAAAAAAAAAAGGTATTTTTTAACTGCAAAAGTAAACTGCATTGCCAAACAAGATGCCAAAGCTTCATCACTAACCATTATCTTGGTCAAAATTTAAGCGATTTTTCAAAATTTTCAGTTGGAAAATGGGGGCCCTTTTTTGCCCTTTTTTGGTAGCTCCATGTATTTGAGAGCTCGTTCGGCTGCCATTTTCCCATTGAAAATTTTTAAGAAAATCACTACTTTTTATTAAGATAATTGTTAGTGATGAAACTTTGGCATCTGGTTGTGACTTCTAACGCTACATTTGGGTGTAGAATGAGCGTTCGGCGATGCAGTTTATATTTGCAATAAAAAAATAAAAAAAAACCTGTCAATTTTTTTTTTTTTCATTTGAAGGGGGGGGGGGGGGGGGAATTACCCTGTACCAAGATTGTAATATTTTGATTTCAGCACCTAAAAACACCTTTTTACATTTCAGACTGCATCAAAATTTCTTCAAACAGTTATTTTTATTCGGCTCTTGCTCTCGAGCTGTTTCATACTGTTCCATGGTGGTTGATTTGATAGAGCAGGGGCTCTCAGACTGTGCTGTCTCAAAAACCCTCTATCTGTCGCATATGGCAGCTGAGGAACCCAACCTGGTCTGGACGTTGACACAGTAAAACAGTGCAGGAGGCTACAGACTTAATATACAATAATGAACATACTGAGACATTCATGGCTCATAGTTGTGCATTCCAGGGTGCCTCAATGACCTTCTGTTTAGAGTGATGCCACCCTTTGTAGTACCCGATGCCGACAGCATACGCTCACAGGGAAAATACAAAGAAATCGGCAAAAACAAAATGTCGCCATAGCACAGTGAGCGCCACAGACGCGTGCAGAAACGCGCTCTTTCACGCGCTTCTGAACAAAAAATAAATGTAAAAGTCTGAACAAAATGGCCAGATGTCTCCACCCTAAGCAGAGCGCACATGAAGGCACCCTAGCGCATTCATGGGTGGCTCAAATTTGCTAAAATGGTGCTTAAACCGGAAAAGCTCTTCCCTTATGGGCGGGGATGATTGAAGAAGATTGGGTGCTCGCAGAGCCCATTACGTAGAACATAGGGTTCCGGTTTTTTTGGTATTTATTTTTCTTGAGAATCTGGGGTTATTTATCCGTGTTAATTTCTTTCTCTTTGAATCGGTGTTTTTGGGCATCTAATTTGAAGGCCGGAGAGAAATCTCTTCATGAGGCTTGGGCTGTAAAGCGACTGTATAATTACTGGAGAAAATATGATAATTTATAAGTTATAGATCAATTTTTTCCAGTAATGCTGGTGAAGATAAGAGAAAGGAACAGGCAAGGAATCTGGTTTCAAAAGAAAGGAGCCCCAAGGATGGTTCAGTACAACTGTGTTCCAAATCAAAGAGGAAAAAAAAATAAAAGATTGAAAAACTGAAGCCGGCATATTTATTTTTTTTTCCTCCAAAGAGAGTTTGTATTTTGGGTTTCTCAGTTTTTGCCGATTCACAGAAAACAGCCTCAGTCTAATTTTCGGTGTTTATCAGTTTGTACTGAAAACACAACGCCCTAATCGCAATAAAAGAATATGCGGGTCCCTTTGGCAACCACCTATTAACTGCATCATCAACAACAGTAATAAACCATATGCGAAATGTAGAGCGCCATCTAGTAGTGTGCAGAGAACTACGTCCGCCATCTTGGTAGCTGCGAGAAAACAAAACCAGTGTCCCGACCGGCAAAGATCCCACGTAAACAAGTGACCGCGCCTTGTGCGAGAGATGCGATCCCAACGCGTTGCTGCATTCCACTGCCGATGCAGTGATAAACCTTCGATTTGTGCATGACAGGAACCCAAATGTGAAGTGTTCACAATATTTTCTTATTTTTATTTGTTACTTGAGACGCAGCCTTTGACAAAAACAATTGGTGACAACGCGAAAAAACATGCGGACGTTATCACATGGCGTGAAGCCATTTTTTAGAACTATTGAACTGGGTCCATAATCTTTTCACAAAATTGTACCAAATTTGATTCTAATTTTTTTTTTTTTGCACGTTTTTGAAGTGTTGGTTTGCGTTTTTCTTGATGCGCAAGCAGCTCAATGTATGCGGACGACACCGAGGCTGTTAAGCGAGGCAAAAGGATGACAGTTCTAATAATCTACGCCACCAACCATAATTGCAGATGCGTATGGTTAACAGTGGGCAACAAAAGCTGAAAGCACCAGAAAGCCCTCATTTTAATGTGATATATATTAAAAAAATATAGATCTACTTTGGAAAGCCAGAAAACAACCTCATTGCTTTGCAGCGGTTCCTATACACTTGATTTGGCGTCGGTAAACGAGGTTTGTAAAACACCTCTAAAACTAATTGGGAGAGTTTTTTGATAAAGTATTCTTGAATATCTAAAGGAATACTTCAACAAAATTTGAAATATATCCGTCGTGTTCACATATAGGCTGAATATGATCCACAATATCTGTAAATGACATTCGCACGTTTCTATTTCGAGCCTGATGGCTGTAGTTTTCATTATAAACGGCCCACTCTGGCAAACACTCGGAGAACAGCCAACAGAGAGCACGTCACATCCGCCGCAATCGTGACATAGTTTGTCTCGGGACCTTACGTCCGGACGCAGCGGACGCTGCGAGCTATCCCAGCCAATCTCGCTCTGTGGACGTATCCAGTGATATGCTTTCCGCGCGTCGCTGTGCCCCCTCTCCAAGGTCACGTGACATTTACACGGCCTTGAATAGGCCCCGAAGGCTCGTAGCATCCGCTGAAAGCAGCCGAAGCACACCAGCGATTGGGTTACCGCGAGTAAGCCCAAAGCTGCCTTTGTACGAATTTTAAATTACTGGTTAATCTTCTATAATCATGTAGAGGGATAATAGCGACTTCTGCGACGCACAATAAGAGTGTCTCGGGGAGAGGCGAGTTCCTCCTTCCCCTCTTTTCTCATGGTGGCCGGAGGCGAGACAGTTATCGTCACTACCTGTCGTGGTTCCTAGACGGGCATTACAAACGAGGCGTTAGCGACATCCACCTGGTGTTCTTTGCTAATTGTTTAATTCACTTAAAATCCCTTTTTGTGTCTTTTCAACAAGATATTGCTGTGTCTGATGTGATAATGCTCCCTTGAACACGAATAGACCAAGAAATAGGCGTCGAAATTTCGTTGTAGTATCCCTTTAAAGCACAGTCACGTAGAATAGAAAACATAGCAGGCACAGACGACGTGGCTGTTTGCTCAAAACTCACAAAGACGGGATTTTGCTGTCTTTTTTTGTTGAACGCCACGTTCAATTACATCGAATGTGGCATTCGACTTAGGTTTATCGCAGTGGCTAAAACTTCTATGTCGGCGGCGGCGAAAACTTGCGTTGCGGACGTTGAGTGGAGCAACACGGGCGGTGTCAACTTCATTTCACAAACTCCTGTCCTTTTCTTTTTTTTTTTGTTGCAGTCGAGGTAAAAATCGTTTAGTGCGAAAAAGCTCGGGGGGTAGTTTTGAGAAAGTCAAAGCAGTTATTCTGCCAGGGGGTGAACAAATCTTCATCACTAGCACAACATTCGTCAACTGTGGTTGAGGTCAATGCTATCTGAAACCAATTTAAGCTCTTTGCAACACCTGAACGATATTGCTCAGGACATAGTTTCTTTTAGAAAAACACAGCTTTTCACCAAAAAACACTTTTGCCAGTAATAACTAAAAAGAAACTAACCTTAGGTTGCATGTATTGGTGTGGAGCACTCTACTGCTAAACAGTACAACTTCATGCGTATTCACATCGAAAAAATAATTAAAAGTGTCCTCAAAGATGAAAGGCATGACGGCCTTGTCCTTTGTCCACGTCGGGTGGTCGGAAGACAGAAAACAATAAAGTTTCCGAATCACACTTAGTGGCAGAGCATTCATGCCTTGGAAATACTGAGAAACCGAAACTCAAGATACTTGATGCTACCAAGATGGCTGCGTGCACAGTGCTGCCGGACAACCAAGCAGTTTCGCATATCGTCTATTGCAATGATGCTCCTGGAAAACAGCATTCTTCTAATGTGGCACTCGAGTATGTGTGCTTGGCAACTTCTCCTGTCAGCTTGCTGGGTAAATTGGTGTTTGAAAAAGTTGGTGCAGTCTATTCAGATGTACTCTAAGGCCAAGTGCCAGCCTACGGGTTTAAAGCTGGCAGGATCAAATCCAGTCTGATGTGCTCGCAATCTAACAAAGGCTTATTTCGGTGTAGGCGCTCTGCAACTTCAATTTCAATAACATGAATTCCCAGTTTAAAATCATCCTCTTTTACTGGGGCAGGCCTAGTACATTCACCAGCTTGAATTGTAATACCCCTCTTCCCAAACTTCATCTCATTCTGGTCTAAAACTAACTTGTGGCATCTCAAGTTTTAATCTGTCTATTTTAGAAGCAAATGAAAATTGTAGTACTATGATGTTGCAAATGTAGGGGCAAAGAATCGAACAATATTCTTGCTGGTGTTTATCCCTTGGGCTTTCTTTGCGAGAAACATTTTTGGCGGTATTTCTTTTTAGGTTTGTGGAGCGTGTGGCCTGCCTGGAGCCCCACGAATTTATGAAGGACCTCCATAGGAAGGACTGGCTGGTGTTCAGCAAAGATGCTAAGCTGAGTCACAGTCAGCTTGTTGCAGACCTCCACCTGCTTTTGCAAGATAAGGCAAGTGCCCAAGCTGTGCTGTCTGCTTGCCTGCTTTCTCCCCAATGGTCTTGCCATATTTGAAGAGTAGAAGAGCTTTCGAGCTCCAGCCACCGTTCGACACTTTCGTCAAACCCAGGAACAAAGGGCCATTTCTCGATCAAAGTTCTGTTGGCTCGAGAGAGAGACATTGTTGTTGCTGTACGTAAATGTAGACATGACTCGTACGTGACGTCATCCAGAGTTCTCGGACGGCCACCAGAGAAGGAGCTTCCTTCTTTTAGATTTGCCCAGTTGTTGCTATTCTGCCCCCCCGAAGATTATAGAAAACTAACCTGTCACTCAGAATTCCCACAAAAGCAGCTTCCCTCTTTCCCTCTTTCCATGATGGCCAAAAGTATGCACTGTGACATCAGTGCAAGCCATGTATTAATTGCTACATTTATGTTGCATCCACATTCATTTGTGCATTTGTAACTGAAATTGTGGTAGAGTCATCTCTGGATCATAAAACAAAACAAACAATACCTTGCTTGTTGGGACAAATGAGTCCAAAAGATGTTTGTTTTCTACCACTGAGTCATTTGTGACCACCCAGAGAAACTTAAAAAGATAGGCTTCATTGCATTGCTTCGTTTCAATGCCAGTACTTGGCATTATTCACCTCATAAATATTTTTGTTAGCTTGCACAATCAATAGCTTTTATAAAACATTGAATGCTGATTGGAGCTGAGGGCTGACTAATAAATTAACCCAATTGATCGCCACCCTTTAATAGGCTCGTCAATTGATAAATCCGTTGGTTGATTTTTCTCCAGTCATGTTACATGAAAGACGTTAGAACTATAAATTTTTTTACTATGCCATAAATGGTATAAATGGGATATTGCCGTTCCATTTCAAACTTCACGTTGCAACGCCTACATAAATGTGAGGGTAGATTGAAAAGTTTCTGGAATGAAAAAGTAAGCATTATAAATCTAAGTCAAGTGATGTTTTATTTTTTGACATGATCTCCCCGAAGCTCAACATACTTGGTCCAGCATTTCTCCAGCTTTTCGTTTTCCTCCCGGACGTGACTTTTTTCGAGATCCCCAAAATAACTGTTCACAGCCTCCATCACCTCTTCGTTTGACAGAAATCTCTTTCCAGCCAGGAAGGTTTTGAGCTTCGGGTATAGGTAGAAGTCAGCGGGAGCCAAGTCAGGTGACTATGGATGTGAAAGGGTTTTGAACTTCAGTTCTGTCTCTCTTTGCTGAGCGACTGCGCTTGAATGGGCGGGCGCATTGTTGTGGCAAAACAACACCTGTTTCTCGACCATTCCCATGTGTTGAATTTCTCATTTCAGCTTGTCCAGAAGTGTTATGTAGTATTGGCTAGTAAAAATTTTTTTTTTTCTCTTTTTAAGATAATTAATAAGCAAAATTCCTTTGGCATCCCGACAAACTGGTGCCATCACCTTGCCGGCTGACCGAATGGCCTCTGTCTCCTTCGGAGCCAATTCACAGGCCCCAGTCCATTGCTCCAGTTGTCATTTCTATTTCTGGAGTGTAATGGTGGACCCAGGTCTTGTCCATATCTACAAATCGTCACTTGAAATCCGTTGAACTTGCTTGAAACGCGTGCAACCTGTCGACAGACATTCGGGCTCAAATGCGTTTTTGCTGCGGATTGAGCAAATGCGGCACCCATCTTGCAGAGAGTTTCTTTAATCCCAATTTATTGTGTAAGATACAAACAACTCGTTCAGAAGAGATGGCCGCTGCATCCTCAGTTTCGTGCACTTTTATGCGGCAGTCATGAACCACGTCCTGAACATGGTTCATCACTTGTGCCTGTACGACCACGCATGAGAATTCGGAAACCGAAAAACACGCAGAGGAAATCAAAGGCGATGAGTCCCCAAGAACAGCATTCAACATAAAATTGATTTCCGTCTGTTTTTCCCTTCCAATAAAAAAATTTGATGACCGCTCATATTTCGTTTTTATCCATCATTGAAAATGTTCATGGTTGCTCGACTAGAATGCTTGTCAAAGTGAGACTTTTTTGAGATATCAATCTGACATTTGTGGTCATCTCATGAAAAAGGTTCCAACACAGCAGCATAAAAATACTTTAAAAAAAACAACTAGCGGCTATTTTGGAAACTTTTTAATCTAACCTTGTATAAACACAGGAAGCCTTTTAAAGCGAAAAAATTTTAAGTTAATATTTTAACAGCATAATTGCCCTCGGCGACAGTCGGAAGCATGCTGAAGTGGCATACCATGCAAGTCTGTATCCTAAAAGAAATAAGAATGTTGGAAGTAATAAAGTGGGCATTTTTTACCTTTAATGCAAAAGCATTAACTATCCCATGGAGCGAGCTGATGTCATCAGCTTTCAAACCGCGGCAAACGGCACCTTAAATCTTTTCTCCAAGTGAAGCCAGCTCCCAGCTGTGAAACCGTGCAAAAAGCCTAGCCAAACGGCACCTAGCTTCCCCGATCCCAAAAGAGCGGAGTGAAGCTGATGGATTTTGGCTTCGGTCCCATTGGCTGGCGCGCGTCGACGAGGCTTCCATTGGCCGCTGCGCATCAGTTTCAACGACCACCACCCCATGGTGCTGCGTGTCCACGAGGGAGCGGCTCCACCGCTCTACGACCAAGGTCAGCGCACCGAGGAGAGCTATAAGAAAGAAAAGCCATTGTTGAAAGGAGGTCACCCCTCTCCACTTTAGCTTTCCTATGTGCGCGCCCTTTTCTTCCTTGCCCTGTCTTTCTTATGTTGTATTTGACTATAGCATGCGCGCTTCACCGTCGACACAAGTACGCTGCAGACGAAATAAGGAAGCGGAGGAATGACGTGCATGCTTTCGCATTCACAACTCGTGAGAAGTGCTTAGGCGTACCTCGAGCCTTTTTTTTTTCTTTACTTTCTCCAGCACGAGACTGATTGAATGACCAAAACAATATTGCAATATAGCATTGCCTAAATAATGGGAAGGTTAAGCAATGAAGTGCCCAGTCTCGATATGCGTCAGGTTGGGGCCGAGGGTTATCAGAAAGTCTCACGAGAGTCGCTAGCCCTCATCAGAAAAACGGTGTTGCTGCGGTCGATGCTGTCTGTGTTGTGGTGCGGGTCTTTTGTTGGAATTACAGAGCCTAATACACTCAAATAAAAGGTGATGTAGCCAGGAATAAATTGGCCTCTTGGCATCCGCGGCCCTCCCTGAGAAGATTGAAGTGGGTGAACCCACACTCTCGAGAATAGCATCGAGAAACACACGCTGCTGCGTTGCTCGGTTACACTCGTTTATTCCACTTGCGGCAGATATTAAGACAGTTTGTTTCACTTGTCTCAGTTATCCTGCCAACAAACAGTTTGTGGATCGTAATAGAACGGGCACTCTTTCCTCACCACAACATAATTTGAATTGTTCCGACTCTGAAAAACTCGCCCACACCATGGCACAGTAAAGGGAAACGTTGGCTGCAGCTCAACTTTTTACTCATACAAGCTAGCAATAGCACGGAAATTTCCAATACAGCACTAACTTCTCTCGATGCAAAATATTTATATTGCAAAAGCTAAAAATTGTGCGAAAAACAAAAAGCATAGAACCTGCGATTTTACACACCACAGTACCAGTATTATGTAAGTATCCATATGAAATTCCTTGTTTTGTTGAATTTTCACGCTGGTGAATCGATGCATCTCTTTAAAAAGAAACAAATATTTAATGTAAATAGTACAGTTGACCGGGAAACAGGCATCTGTCATGGTGATTCAATCTTCCAACGTCTGCCTAGAGTAGACGGCACATACACTCGAGTGTTTATTTAAAGGAGCTGTGCAACAATTTTTGTACTGTGCACAAATACCGCTTAAAACGGATCCCTAACGTTAATGACCTATGAAACACGCGTTCGTTTTTCACCCCACGCAATAGAAGTCCCAGAAAAAAATTGAAGAAAAACGAGCAGCGTTCACCCCCTCAACTCGCAGCCAGAACAGGCGGCCACGTGATCTGGAGCCGATTATATGCCGCCAGTGTGGATCATAGCCACGCGCTGGGGTTGGCAAAGCGCAGGACACGCGCTGAGTTCCAGACATTGTTATGGCTCGGCTGTTGTCGTCGTTGCAGCGATTGGACACGGGTCACAACCCGAATGCTCCTCAAGCTAGCAATTGTCACGAGCCCAAGTCGAGTGCCCACGTAATGCTCGGGTCCAATCTATGAACCGCATTCAGATATCGTCACTTGGGTGTACTGCGATCCCCGAGTTACGTCATCAAATTTTGCAAAGGAGAGATTGAATGAAAATGATCGCTTTTGTCCTTGAAATTACACCGCAACAAAGGAGTTTCTTGGCCAATGGCGTTGCGTGTGAGTATCCTTGAGTCCCAGGTGTGCCGGTAAGCTCGTCTAGAGAGAAAAACATTCCAATTTAATATCGTTGCACAGCTCCTTTAAATTTATGCCATACTCTGGTAACCTTATTCAATCTTCTCTGAAGCGTCGAACAGTACTGCAGCATTTTCCTTCAGAAGACTATATTGGTAGTAAATAGATTGAACGATCCATGTCACTCTTTGGACAAAGACAGCTTCGGAGCGTGTGTGGTCGATGTGAAACCTCAAAAGAAAGCATCTTATCTTTTATGTCGGAAAGTTGCAAGGTTTTTCTCTAGTCTTTCTTTCACAGATAGTAGTGAGTAGCTGGGAAGTACCACAACTGCAGTCTGCAGTGAATACAATTATAGGGAATGATTTATGGTGCTAGTATGCTTCCTAAGAGACCAGGAGGTGCTGGGGATCGAAAGTATTTTTGCTTCTGATTTATTGCTTCTAGGCCTCCGGCATGGCTGTGGTTGCCCTTGCCCCAACACCAGGCTCTGTTGTTATCGATGCTTGCGCAGCACCAGGAATGAAGACAACATATATTGCCGCTCTGATGGAGAACACCGGGTAAGTGTTCACTTGTTGCATCTCCTTTCGGCGTATAGTATTTGGCCCAGCCCAGTCTTGAGAGGGTTATCACTCTGAAGCTAGTTACTTTGTACTAGGAAGGAAATCAAAAAGGTGCACTGTCAGACTTGAAAGCAAGGCGATAACAGTTGTTACTCTGTCATTTGCTTTTTGCACAATTGGAATGAAAAAATTTCTCTTCACAGTTCTTTTATGCCAGGCACTCTATTGTTTGCGAGCTTGGTACATTCAGTTATATTTGATACATATTATTTCTTATCTTGATTATAAATTAACATCATTATTTAATATACGCTCCATTAAAATCGGTACATACTTGCTAGCGTGATGAAAGCTTATGCATTCCATTTCCATAAAAATAAGGGTGAGCGAATAGTGGATTGAATTGAATATCGCTGCATCACTCATAGCTTTCACGGCATAAAGAAGAGCCTCGGTGTACTGGTTCTTTTTACAGCGTCGAAGCTAGAGATGATGTGGCCCTATTATATTTGGAGCAATATTTGCACGTCCACAGATAAAAGTCAAGACTTGTGGAGTTGATGAAACCTTTCTAGGCTTTATTTGGTCTGGTAGAGCGCCATTTAGTGGTTACTACAGCAATTTTTATTTTTTATTTTTGCCAGCCTGGTGGAACCAGTACGTATCGCAAACAAGAAATGCACTTAAAGTCAAGTGAAAATGCAACCCTTTGAAGAAGGGTATACGCTCCGTGCGGGGGAACTATAGGGGGCGCTTTGAAAAACGCGCGTAGCGTCGGTAGCACAGGAGCTGGCGTTCGACAGTGAGGCGCGTTCAGCAGCCTGCAACGCCTTTTCGCATGCCAAGCTGTGGCGGCGGAAGCGCGCGCGGACGGAACTTTTGCTTTTTGAGCCAATACGTTGAGGGTGACGTTGCATGAGTGCTGGGGCAGACCTAAGAAGGGCATCTAGCTGTTCTCCACTTCTTATATATCGAGTTTGATTCGTTATTAGATATATTGAGTTTGATTCGTTATTAGGGGTAATTTCTCTAGTTGCGGCCGAAAAGGGGTTGGAGCAATTTTCCGAAAAGCAAGACGGCTGCCACCATAAATGCTCTGAGTGATAAATTTGTTTCGCTCGTCGCTGTAAACGGGACTGCTGGAACGATGCTATTGGGAGGCGAGTGAGATGTTCACTAAGTTTGTGCACGAAGTGTGCCAAGTTTCATTAAGGCAGCAGGTGTGAAAGTTATGTTCCTATAACGAATAAAGAAATAAAGCAATATTGGACCCAAAATGTTGTGTTATAACCGGGCTGTGCGAAGTGCAGATTTGGGCACACAGATGCTTGGACTTGACAGTAACATGATACAGCACTTATTATACCTAAAAGAGGTGGCATAGCAAAATTAGGTGGAAATTTGGTTTGGGCAACGGAACTCAATGGTAACCTGTTTTGACCATGAAAGGGCTGTCAAGAGAATTCCACTCGTCGTGGGAGGTGGAGATTTTACAGGTAGGAAGGGACTAGTGGACTGTACTTCCAATTGGAACAACTTTACGAAAGGTGCTTCTTAAGCCGAGAAAACAAAGTTGTTGGCCAACACATGGTTTGGCCGTCCAAGGCTTTTGCGTTCAGCTGTTGTGTAATAACCTGTTGCGCGAGGTGCTGATTTTCGGCACATAGGTACTTTGACATGACCGTAACTTGACACAACACTTATTTTACCAAAAAGAGGTGGCATAGCGAAACCAAGTGGAAATTTGGTTTGGGCGGCGTAACTAAATGGGAACCAGTTTTGACTGCCAAAGGCTGTCAATATAATACCACTCATCGTGGGAGGTGCACACTTTACAGGTATGAAGGGACCAGTGGACGGTACTTCCAGTTCGAACAACTTTGTGATAGGTGGCTCTAAAGCCGGAAAAAAAATCGTTGTCTACAAAACACGGTGTCAGCGTTTCCACATCCAAAAGAAGGCTAATCAAAAAAAGAAAGCACACCACATAAACTTCCGTACTCAAACGTCGATTCTCCAGTGATTCCGAGTTTCATTGTAGTTTTCCTTAGATTCATATTTGTCACCTTTTTTTTACCATTCGAATCTTTCTTCGTGAAGTACAGATTGCGTGCCATACTTGTCCGGAAATATCATCGACACATACGATGGGGACGAAACTTCTTTGGAGGGCATTCATCTAACGAAATTGGCACTGCATACCCGCGAGTGAGGATGGCATTTCAGCTTGTCCCATCGGCGCTAACACATGTAGGCGTTACTGGTACGAAAACAAATGCAGAGCGCAAAGCGGCAGTGTAGATAATGTCAGCCGTGCCAACACAGTGGCAGACATGATCGGGAGACCAAATTTCTTGAGTCGTACGGCACGGGTCCATCGTTGTTGCTGTCCCACAAAACATCGGCGAGGTGAAAAACTGTGAAACTATATTCCCACGAGATACGACGCAGCACCGGCAGCACTTCATGCTGTGAACCCAGCGCAACCGCACCGCTCCGACTTCAATGTGTACCAACGTACGTGGCGTGGTTTCGGTTTCATTTTCTCTGGGGATCTCACTGCCTACCTTCGGTAACGGCCGCGCGGCGGCGCGCCAGTCGCGTCGCACGGAGTGTATTGTTTACCATATATGTTCTAACAACATAGTAGCTCAAAGTGCTTGAAAATACTCTGAGCATGTTCTGTTGCACACTCTCCCATTTATTCCTGCCAGAAAGCGTGGGGACTAGTCACAATAGAGAAGGTGTAGTGCATCCGTAGTATACCCTTTTTGTTTATTGCCACGACAACACCCAGTGTTTGGGCAGGGTGTTTTTTGTCATTCTTGACGGGTGTGCTTTTACCACACGTCTGGCAGTGTGGGAGCTAGCATTAACTCTTGCTCCCTGACACCCTGCCTGAAAAGTGTACTGTTTCCTTCTTTGGGACAATCGAGTTACTCACTGGAGTTCATTTTATGAGGACGCCATCTGTAAAACAAATTGCTGTTTGACACCAAGCACTCGCAAACATTTCTTGAAGCATGTATATCCCTGGTTTCCGTCCAATTTGGGGTGTTGAGCAGAGTGCACGCAGCAGGCAGAAGTCCATCCCTGGCAAATGCTCGCCCTTGTCTAACCACAATTCTGATGTTAAACAAGGTCTAGCTTGGTACTCTGTACCAGCGTTGTGGAGTTGCCACTCCGGAGTTGGAATGATTCCGGAATCATTCCACATTTTCGCGACCCCGGAATGGAATGGGGGAATGGAATGGCGGCAGCGTTGAGGGGAATGGAATGGGAATGGAATTAGATGCCTTTTGCCCGGAATGGAATGGGAATGGAATGGGGGGGCCGGGTCTTTATATTTTTTTTTATTCCTTTAATATTTTTTTTGTTTAGCTGTACCAAGTTAATCAGCGAGTTAGCTGTTCAGAAATAAAATGAGCGGGAAACTGCAAACCCGCATGGAGCCATAACAGATTTATACGCAAAAAAAATGCAATACAAAAAAACAAGCGTCAAAGCAAAGAACAAAGAGGGGAGGGAAGAGGGGCGGCGGTGGCGCCTTTCACCAGTGAAGTTCAACACAAATCCGAATGCGTCTGCGCCTGTATTTGATTTTCCAAAGACTTTATGACTCTTTTTAAAACGCGTTTCCGATATGTATCGCGATACATTTTTACGCATATATTTCAGTATCAGTATTTTAGCTACTATTTTCATCTATCCCAGTATTTGTATTTTCAAATACATTTTTGACTATTTCTGCCCAACCCTGCAACGCAGTGCAGCTGTCAAGTGCCAATTTTTATGTTTAGGAATTAGAGGAATGGAATGGAACGATTCATCCATTCCAGGAGTGGGAATGGGCCCAGTGTCCCCATTCCTAGGAGTTGAAAGGAATTGAATTATCGAAAACTCTAATCCCCCGAATGGGGAATTAGAGTTTGCTCTAATTCCCTCAATGCAATGCGGTAGAGGTGGCGTAGCCAAACTGGCCAGTTACATCGATCTGTTGCTTGGTGACTTGAAATTAAGTTGCACGTCACTCGTCACTGGCGAGAGACACAGTGCTGTTTGAAAACTGGTGTTGTTATCCTTTAAGGGCCATCTTTCCCCCTCCATCCCACAGCAAAATCCTCGCCATGGACCACGACCAAGAGCGCACCCTGTCGCTGCGCGACCTCGTGCAGCGCGCGGGCGTCTCGAGCATCTGCAAGGTGCGCACGGCCGACTTCCTCACTGTGGACCCCGAGCAGAGCCCGTACTGCGACGCCGAGTTCATCCTTGTGGACCCTTCCTGCACGGGCAGCGGCATGACCAACCGTCTCGAACCCAACCCCAGGGACGCTGCGCAGAACTTGGACCGGCTGCGCAAGTTGAGGGCCATCCAGGCCATGCTTCTGAAGCATGCCACCAAGTTCCCCAAGGTCCGCCGCATTGCATACTCGACCTGCTCCGTACACGCCGAGGAGAACGAAGAAGTCGTCGGGGAGGCATTGCGGTTCACGCGGGGAAGGTTCCAACTCGAGAAGGTCTTGCCAGAGTTCGAGAACCGCGGCTTGGACCGGTACGAATTCGGGGAGTGTTGCGTTCGGATGTCGCCGGAGACGACATTTACGAGGGGTTTCTTCTTAGCAGTGTTTGTGAGGGTGCAGGAGGAGGTGGAGGAGGCTGGGAGGAGGAAGAGGACAAGGAAGAGAAGAGCAGACTGAAGTTGCTGGTACCGTTGTGGTTGCGATGAAAACTCGAGACGTTTGGCAGAATTGGTATGGGGTGGCGTCGAGGCACTGCTGCCATGAAACATCTTTTCGTTTCCTGTTCGGACTTCCTCCGACATTGTTTCTCGGTTACATTTCATTTGGATCACAATAAAAGTTCACCTGTGGCACTTTTTGCATTCAAAATTGTCAGCAGTACATTATGTGGGTCGTCGTAAATGATGGGAAGCGTGCTGTTTTAGTTTACGGTGCATGGACTTTAGTGATGTTACTTGTTTGAGTGTGTACAGATAAAGTGGCATATTGCACTTGTCTAGTAATGTAACTAATAATTTATTTTTCCTTTTTTTTGGGGGGGGGAGGGGGGGGAAGGTGATGCCGAAGCATTGTAAACTGCAACCCCCTCACTGTCTATGCCCCCACTGATTTCCGCTTTGTCTTCGGTTTGAAATACTTTGCAAGACTTGCGAGGAAATGTACCTTGGTGTAAAAGAGGTGAAAAGGCACCTCTAAAATTCCAAAGCTCTAATATGTCAAACTCTAGCAACAATATTATTTCGGGGTATCACGTTTCCAGTTTGCACGACTCCAAAACTGTAACTAAAGAGAAAATTTTTTTTTTTGTGAGAATTGGATTACAGTTTTTTGTATTGGGGGCATGCACAACCTATACTTTGTTTCGCGATAACTTGGCGAACTGTGGAGGCTGTGGTCCCCGCGACCCAATAAGAATGTCAAAGAAAGGCATGTGACAATGCTCCATTGTCAAGGCCATGGAGGCTCGTTACCGCCACAGCAAGAGCGCCGTCCGCAACAAAGTAGATCTATGCTACTTTTTCTTTTAGTAGTGTTGTGGTCAGGCTCTTCTTACTGCAACATTACACTACACGGAAGAAAGATGAATACATGTTACTTTTCAACAATACTTAATACAGATCAACTCTTTCCCTAGAACAACATGACTTTTTAACGATGTTTGAACGCTCGCAGCTGAGTAATCGACTGCTTCCGCTCAAAACATCTCCCTGGCATTAGCACCTCCCACAGATTCGCGGGTAAATTGAGGGTATGGTTGTCTCATAATCTGTTCTCGAAAAGCTCGCTACTCTAGCGGACGTCAATGTTGTGGCGATGGAAGTTATCCAAGGTTGGTTGCTTTCGCAGCAGACGACAGCCAGTTCCTCTGGGCTCACATTTGGCACAGTGACACACACACTCCCATGACATCGTGTCACGTGCCTTGCTCCGACGCTCCTATTGGGTCGTGGAGACTGTAGCCTCCACAGTGCGCCAAGTCATTGTGAAACGGAGTATACGGAGGGCGCTTCTCTAGTTATATTCGTCATTGTTTGTGACGTCACGGGTAGGACAGACCAGTAAAGACCGTACAGATCTTGGACCCCTCAGCTTGTCAGATTGTTTCATGTGCTGTTTCGGTAACTCGCAGCAAAACCTGTTTCGTACAGTGTGCTTGTTTGGTGAGGTGATATTTGTAACCTTTTACCAAAGCTTAAAACTGTGGCACGCATGCATAGTCGTGCTAAAAAACACTTTTGGCACTGAGGTGTCAAAGCGCTGGGATGCTGGTGTGCTGTTCTGTACCACAGTATGAAAAGCTCAATGATGAAAATAGAATATCCAGAGCTTTAGCCCACTACAACATCTACCACGCCGAATAGGGTGTATTTTTTATGATTCAAACAAAATAAAGCTGAAAGAAATGTTTCGACAATTTCAAAATAGGAAAGCGGAATTCGAGAACCCCTCACGTGTGTAGTAAACATTTCAGTGAAAGCAGCTTCATATATCCTGTTAGTTCCAATGTGCTCTGTGAGTGCCAGGTCTCTTATTTGTTCCAAGTTGATTCTTTTTTTAATTTTGTAAACCAGTAGACAAACGTTTCCTCAAAATAACTAGCAGGAAGAAACGGTGGCTGGCTTCCGGAGTTGTTTCAATTAAATCCCTGCCTATTCACCCATTCGACATGAAACCTGCGTGACCCCTTCGCGGTCGAAGTCAGTCGGTAACACTTCAGCATTCCAAAAAATGGGGTATACACCTGATGCGAATTAACTACCGTTTGTATGTTTAATTTTATGGACCCAAACGTGCATAATATGTGAACGCGCTTCCATAGAACAAATTAATCAATCGCCTGAATTTGCCGGGCCATGTCCGGCAGTTTAAGAATTTATAAAAATTTCTGCTTTTCTTTTAAGCAGAAGTCGCGATCTGACAAACTTCTTTACCACGTATTTGATGTGGGAGGAGCTAAGCGTCGCTTGCTGACGAGCATTTGCTCGTCGGCAACTGTCGAGTCGCACTTGGATAGAAGCGCCGGTATCGGCAAGCTAGCCAAAAAAAGTGCGGGGCTTTGCAACACAACTGCGCATGTGCACAGCTAAAAAGACAGCACGTCATTTACTCTGGTGAATGCAAAACCTTTTTCTACAGCAGCCTCCACAGATCCGAAAAAGAAAAAAAAAAGAATCGGGCTTGTTTTGGAACATTTTAAAGTTATTTTTAATATAAAAAGCAACTTCGAGGCGCTGGTATTCATTAGAAAGATCCGTCACAAAAACGTTATACACGTGTCTTTAAAAAATAAACCGTTTTAATCCGCATAGATGTGAACTAACATAGCCACTTCGTGCTTTGCCATAGCGCTTCACCTACTCTCATGCTGCAGCTCATCACAGTGGGCACCCGCGAGGTGGCACCACCAGAACCGTTTATAGTGAGAGAATGGTGGAGCTTGGAGTTTGTTGCCCGCTAGAAGCAGCGGATTTCGTGATAATACAAAAGGGCGTTACTTCTTTGTTTTGTTTATTCCTGAGTAATCGCATAGAGTTCCTCTGAGTTAGTCACGAAATGGCGGACGGAAGTAGTCATCCCCCGGTTGTCACACTACGCTGCTGTGGTTGCCAGGCTGTCAAAATATCTCCTCAAGAAGGCCAAACTCGATATAAAGGGCTCCAGGCACCCCCAAAACATCTCGTCGCCAATAGACCCTTTCCGAAATTCAGCCTGGCCTCTTCGATCGCTATTATCATCTGGAAAATGGTGTATATTCTATACTGATGGTGGCCTTCTGTTCACTGATGAAGGAAGAAGTTGAAGATGGTTTAAGCAGATGATTCGAGACCTCTACATTCGAGACGTCAGCGTGATGCGAAGCAGGAATTGTATGGAAGAGCTGCGTAAGCATTCATTTGTAACTCGGGCCCAATCAATCTTAATTAGGGGTGTCGCAAACTTTTGTCGAACCAGAATTTTAGGTCGAATTTTCGGGGTTCGACTTGGTCGAACTGGTTCGACGAACCTTCGAACTTTTCACCAGATTCGACCGGTTCGACTTTATGGACAGTGTGGCCAGACCTTGATACAAGCATATCTAAGTTTGGAGAATTTTTTTTTATGAAAAGGGTTATTTTATGAACAGTTGCGATTAAAAGAAACTATTCTAATCACTGAAGAAGTTAACAACTTAATTTTTTGTACTGTAATAACTGAAATAACCAATCAGCGCTGCCTTTACTTCATCCCTTAGCCATCACCATCCAATCCGAAGCCAACTGGCCAGCCTGTCGCGCATGCGCACACGAGTCGAACCTCAATACAAGGTTTGTCGAATTTTCCACTAAAAGTTCGAAAAAGTTGAACCTGGTCGAACTCGAACCTCGGCCGGTTCGCGACACCCCTAATCATAATAGCACAAATCTGCTTCAAAGCCCCTTGATGTATAGAGCTTTACCAAAATGTCTATGTGGATTGGCTCTTCGTTCTGACTGGTTGCATCTTCTTTGCCAGCGACACTGACAGATTGAGAAAGAACAGTACAGTGAAGCGCACATTCCTGTTTGTCAGACTTGCAAAAGTGACGGTGCGCTATAAAAGACTCCACACTACAGGTTCACTACCGCCATTAGTATGGTTGAAGTTAAACTTCGATTTGAGCCACCAGATGGCGCTGAATTCGGGAAATGGTCTATAGACGCTTTACACACGCGTCAAATTACAGCCGCCATTGCTGACCTTCTCTTGTCTTACCGAGATGTCGAGCAACTGAAACGGTAGTTGACGATCCTCTACGAAGGCCGATGCTTTAGAAAAGGACACAGTTGAATCTAATATGGCAATAACCTGGCCTGCTATAGAAATGATGAAGTGAAATAAACGAAATAAGAGGAAACGAAAACTGAAGGTCAGTTTAAAACATCAGTCTACCATTTTCAGGAATCTGGGTTCCGGAGTATTCGGTTCTCTTTCCCTTGCTCTGTTTGAGTCTAAGCATTTGAACGGTTTGAACAAACTTCGGGGAATTTGGGAATTTTAATGAGCTTTATTGTACAATCTGGATAATCCACAAACTGCCCAAGGTCCTGCAGGCTTATGCCATGCGGGTGTAGCCTGATAGACTCTCGAACCAGGGAATACTTGTCAGTCAGTCATTTTAGAAATTAGAAGCGTATATTAGAGATATTCAAAATTTTATAATGAAAAAAGTTTTTTTTTGTTGCAAAAGTGTATTAAAGATACCAAAGAAAAAATAATTTTTTAACATCTTTAATTTTCTACGAAACTGTCAAAGCGGTTCCGACCGCAGCGTCTCCGTGCGGCCGTTCGCAAAAGCATTGGGTGCCGCTGGCTTGCTGGCTCCGGAGCGCCTTGTGTGCGCTGCTGTCCTCTGGTTGAGTTGGTCGTTCTTTCGTGTCAGCCTGGTTTGAGTTGGGATTGCCTCGAAATGGGGCCGCTGGAGTGTCGTCTTCTCTACGAGATGCACAGCAAGCCGTGATCACAATGGCACATGAGGTGAACGAACACGCTTTCTAACCACCCGCCACGGCACGCGCTGACCCCCAAATCTGCGCCAAATTATCTGCGGTTTCGCGGCTCCCGTTTGCCACGACTTGTGATTACACGATGTTCCTTATACGCTTGCATCCAACGCGATTACTTCTACTTCCGTACGTCGTGCTTCATGCCGCAAAGCCAGGGAAAGTTAATCAGTTCGCAAACGATTGAACGACTAACTTCCAAGCTGTCGCATTCTTTGGAGTGGAGAGATTTTTGTTGCTTTCTGTACTCTGGAGAGGCAAATAAATACCGGGGTCTGTAGGCTGGCGACCCCGTCATTTATTAGAACACCTTTTCTGAAAGCCTGAAAGGTGCGAGCTGAATTTTGAGTAGGTTACCGATCGATTAGGTTGAGATTTTAAACGAGAAACTTCGACGATTCGCACTTTGTGTTGGTCGACTTCGGGCTCTCTTCGTGAGGAATCGCGGCTGTTAGCCTAGGGGTCAGTCCTTTGTAATCGATCAGCTTGTCTAGCGCAGGCGATTTAAATTCTTGTTTTATGCTCACCGTGAAGATGTTTTGCGTATGGGCATCGTCGAAGGGTCCATGTGGTTCCGGGGTCGGCGAGGTTGCTCTGCCCGCTGTGCGCTTGGCTTCGGTCGTCTTTCTCCCGTGATTCGCATGTTCCGACTACGCTGTCGCTCGACTGAGACGTTTTTAAAAAGTGCGGGAAATATAATTATTTCAAGGGCTGGGGTCGCCCATTACCGGGAAGGAAAATGCTCCGCGGGGTAAACAATAAGTCGTCAAAAAATAGAAAGCTGCCTTCTCGTGTGTATCTTCCTCTTCTCGAAAATTTTGTTTTCTTAGTTAAATTGTTTGCTTTTATGACACTCGTCGGCCAAACACGTTTCATTTACTTTCGGGCAAGCTCCATGTGAACAGCATTCTGCACTAATACTAATACTTTATTTGTACTGGGGGGAGGGGAGGTTGGATCACTCAGGCGTACAGGATCACAAAAGGCAATGCTGCCCATACCGGAATGACTTGTGTACCCAGCCTGGGGCTCTTAAGTGCATACATATGCATCAACGAAAGGAAAAGGAAGTAACAAAAAGGGGAAGGGACGTCGACTGGGGAAATTCAGACTGTACAGTATACATCATCTTCCCCCTGACGGAAGGCGACCAAGACCCCGGCTGACTCGGTCCAGTCGTGAGCCTGCCAGAGACTGTGCTGTGTCTGGCTCCAACACAACACACCACACAATCCCCAGCTGGCCCTAGACCGAACACAACACCCGCCAGCCCCAGTCACAGTACAACAGGGGTAGTGAGGGGCGTAGGTAACACCAAAGACTGCGCATGCACTGCGCAGCCTTTATGATCAGTCTTGGTTCGTGATAGTCGGGGTTGGGGAATCATAAACAAGATTCTTTGTTCACGAGCAGCTTTCTCAGAAGTGCTGTTTTTTGAAGTTGACATAAGGCAGAAGTTCTTCTGAAAAAGTTGTGTGGATTGGGTCCAAAAGAGTTGTACAGTGTTTGCTTTCAAGCGCTGAAATGACCTTATGGCAGGGGTATAATTTTTGGTCGTGAGCATTGAAACGATTTGTCCCAATTGCATCATCAGTTATTGACTGTCCATCTAGTTGTAAAATGTATTATCACACTTTTAATCATTTTGTTCCAGTGTGGGCAATGTTGGTAACAAAAAATGGAGCGTGGTTTTTTCTGCTACAAAAGCAACTTTCTTTAGGGCATTTTTAAGACAGAATCAAGCAGTGCCCTGTAAGCCCACACATCTATTTAATTTTCTGAAGTTTGTCTTTTAGATAGCAGTTTCTCTGAGCCACCTCCATTTCAAGACATTGCACCTTCAGTTTTGGCATTGCCAAAAATGGATTTCACCAGTAGCGACGTACAACGCAGGTCTAAAAGTTAGGAGTCCCCGGACCCGCTCCCGCAATGGCCCGCTCCAACCACCACGCGGATGGACTGCCCGCGACGCGGACAAGGAGCCTGGCGGAAGACGGCCTCTGCGAGACCCCCCTGCGCAACAACAGTGTGCCGAGTCCGCAAGTCCGGACGCGCAACTCCTCCCGCCTGTCCGCCTACCTGCTGGCGTTGCGCCCGTGGTCCTTCAGCGCCTCCTTTGCCCCCGTGGCCCTGGGGGCTGCCCTGGCCTACAAGGTCTCCCACGAGTTCAGCCCACTCGTGTTTGTGACGACGTGCGTGACAGCCCTCTCGGTGCACGCGGCAGGCAACGTGGTGAACACATACTTTGACTATATGCGCGGCGTGGACGACAGCAAGCGCAGCGACGACCGCATCCTCGTTGACAAGATCCTGACGCCAGACGAGGTGGTCCACTTGGGCGTGCTCCTGTACACCGTGGGCTGTGCGGGCTTCATCCTCCTAGTGTCCTGCTCGCCCGCGCGAATGGAGCACCTGGCCCTGGTTTACTTTGGGGGCCTGTCGAGCTCGTTCCTGTACACGGGGGGCATCGGCCTCAAGTACATCGCACTCGGGGACGTGCTGGTGCTCGTGACGTTCGGGCCCGTGTGCGTGCTCTACTCATTTGTGGCCCAGGCTGGCCTGATGGCACCTGTGACGCTCTTCTACGCGATGCCGCTGGCTATGAACACGGAGGCCATCCTGCACGGGAACAACGCTCGCGACCGGGAGCACGATGCGCGGGCAGGTGCTGTGACGCTGGCGGTGCTGCTTGGCCACACCGGGTCGCACGTGCTGTACGCACTGCTCCTGTTCGCGCCCTACATCGTGTTTGCGGTGGTCGGGACGCACTGCGGGGCCCACTGGCTGCTCTTGCCGCTTATCACCCTGCCGACGGCCTTTGACCTGGAGCGGCAGTTCAGGGACGGGCGGCTCACGCGCCTTTCGCGGCACACGGCCAAGCTCAACGTCTACTTCGGACTCTTCTACATACTCGGCGTCGTCATGTCAGTGCCGGACTCACTGCCGGGACTCAAAGTTCGCTAGCCGTGCATGTGGATGTTTGCGCATGCCCGAAGCATTCGGCAGGTTTTCTGTAAAGTGACGAGCGTCGAGAGGCAGTGTCGGCGGGAAGGACGCGACGGCACTTGTGCGTCGACAGTTCTAGGCTCCATGTTGTTTGCTTAGGCTTAACGGAAGGGAGCGTCGTTTTCGACCAGTTGTTGCCACAGACTGGTTACCTGTGGGAGTTTGTGGTTCTTTGGAAGGTTTCTTTGTTGGATAAATCTGTTAAGTGTGCTGTTTGCATTGGGACAGAGGGGGAAGTGACTTGTTTGGATGCTAGTTGAGAATGCTAGCGTAACGTGTAATTTATCTGGCAGCCTGGATCCGAAGGACTTCCTGGCAACGTTGTTTCTTAGTTGGGTGGGAGTTTCGACAACACTGGTCATGCCTGGGTGCTTGCTGACGGGTTTAGAAGTCCGTGTTGCGTGCCCAAACCTTTTTATAAAAACGACGTAAGCTGTGCCATGGAATCGTGGATTCCAGCTGGTCCAGTTGTCTACCCATTGTAGTAGCAGTTGACTTTGAAGTGGACTAATATGCAAGGTCATGATTCAGACTAGCCGCATTTTTTTCAAGAACTAGTTGAGGCTGTGTGGTTATATTGTGCACTTTGCAACTGTTCATTTCCTTAAAGCAAGACTGCTTAAGCCAACCTAAAGCTGCAAGAAAACACCAAACCATGTCTGCTTTCTGTGAAGTTAAATTTTAACTATATGTTTAGAATTGTAGAAGAATAAAGTTATTTATTGGAAGCAAGAAAGTGCAGATAAAATAAGTCTGTCACCTGCAATATCATAAAAATAGTTTACTATAATTTTCTGCAGCATTTATGGGCATTCTCCAAATCTTATTTTTGCAGACAATTGCCTTTTGTTATATTTCTGCTGTGCTATGGCATATAATTCTGTAGATATACCTTTTTCCTTTATTTTTTTTACAGGTGTCATATCTGATGACACCAACATTTCAAAACATATGTTGTACAGCTGGTTACTGAAGCTTGGAGAGAAGGAGTTACCAATGAGAAGTGTGCCTTGGGCAGCATCAATTGTCCTTGCTTCTATTTGACCGTAGAAATGGGTGCTGCTGGTGTGTTATTCTGATGGCTGGAGCAAGCATTCAGGTTGCTGTGAATGCAACATGACGACGTACAACCCCGCATTTTGTTCCTTACCTTACTGATAGCACAGAGATGTGCGGAATGCCGGATGGTGGTTGGCACTGTTAGGGTTATACTTTTAACATATCAAAGTGTAGTGTCACCAACATTTTCATTTAAACAGTTATTATGTGCAAATGCAAGCCCCCCCCCCCCCCCCCTCCTCTCCTTCCCTCATCTTTCTACTCTAAAGACGGAACTTCTAAAATGTAGATTTTACGAAGTTGCAGTCTAGGGGATAAACTGGGCCTTGCTCGATGTGACAGCCTTTAGTTTTTCTATAGACGATAATAAAACGATGCTGTTTGTGTACTAGTTTCTGGCTTGTGCTTGTTTGAAAAATATGGGGAACGAAGCTCGTGTTCTGCCGTAAAATACCAGGGGAGTGCCCATTTCGCTTTCACTGAAAACTGGGTTAATCTTGAGATGGGCGCTTGTCGGGTCAAATCAGGCACTTTATATATAATTTTGTAGAATTTCTAAGTTTTTGAAATGTCAACGGGGGTGCTTGAACGATGTGGGCACTTCCGCGGTATTTTACGGTATTCAAACTTCAGAATTCATTATAGGTTTCCAAATCTTGAATTTCTGTAGATTAAATGAACAATTAGCCCTTTGAGTGCCACGCCCGAGTATTCTGGAGTGCACTCCACCGAGTCTTGAAATGTATAATTCCAGAAAAAGGTCCTAGGCTGGAGGCATGCATACATCAATCATCTTTGAGCCTATAAATCGGTGTGTCTTTGATAAATAAATATACTTCATAAAGCATGCTACAAATATTCTGCACAGGGCACTCGAAGGATTGACAGCATATGATAGGAAGTGTTTTACTAGAACAGCTATCCTGACTTTGACGAGAGTAGTTTATCTCATCAAAATAGATATAAGATATAAAAAATGTGGGCTAAAAAGACTTGTGGAATGAATCTAGGCACCAAATGAAGGTGTTTGGTCCTGAAATTGTTTTGAAACATGCTTGCAAGAAAAGCTGTGTACACTGTCATTTGTTCTCAAAAATAACATTAAGTTTCGGGAATGTGGAAAGTTGACTTATGAATATCTTATAGTATGTTGTAATCAAACATTTAGATCTAGATAATTAAATAGTACCCTGTCACCGGAAGGACCTTGATTTGAGGGTGCCTGCTGCAGGAAAGCTTATTTTGTCACACTACAGCTTGGGCGAAATGGATCGCATAAATCGGTTTCTTAACTTATCGCGCTGGGATTTACTACAGAGGGGCCTGAAGTTGGTGGAAGCTTTCGCTAAAATTATGGAAAGATTGCCTCACCTGATTAAACCAAGAAAAAAAAAAACAACTATGTTTTCCCTATATTTTGCATGTACACTAAAAAATACGATGTGTTACTGTGGCGCTTATTTGGGCCAAATGAAATTAAGAGTAGGTAATCCAATTCTATTTTCTTTCCATCTCACAAATTTTTTAATCGAAGCAAATGCCAAAATAGCCCACGACTATTTTCTGATGATTTTAAGGCTTAGCGGTAATGTTTCCATCGACAAAACCATTTTATTTTCTTTTGACTTTGAAGGTTTCATGTATCCATACACACAATGAATGACCAGCTTCAAGCACCTCTGTAGTAACTCCCAGCGCGATAAGTTAAGAAACTGATATATGCGGTTAGTTTAGAGTGTGTTCAATCCATTTCACCCACGCTGTATAACTATCAATGTAATAAAATACATTATACAGATATAAAAGTGATTACAGTACACAAATATGGCAGAGATAGTTAAGCTCAGGTCAAATAGGAAAGAGAAAAACTAATTGGGGAAACATTCCAGTCATATGTAATGCTTTAACCCTTTGGCTTTGCTCCTAATTGATTTCTCTTTCAGCCTTGAGGAAATGCAATCGGAACTATTCATAAAATTACTCTTCACAATGCCCATATGTTTTAGAAAATAATTCTAAAAAGCTTTATTCACAGACATTTCCTTCATGTGGCTAACAAATTCTGATTACTGTTTCTTTGTCAAACTGGTAATACTCGAGCAGAATTTTGAAATTTGCAACAAGTCGAGCCTTTCTGTTTTGCATAACCATGGTTTCTCTGAAGACGCCCTGGCATTTGGCCCCAATAACCTCTTTTAAAGCATTGCCAATCAGCTCAAATTCTGATAGAAAACGGTTTATGGGAAATGGCATTCATGTGCGGCTCAAATGTTGACGCTTCTGCAAATAGTAACTTATCTATTCGACGAGAGATGTGTTACTTCGTGAAAATGATGAATTCAAAAATTATTGCCGTCATATGAATGTGAAGCGCAAACTAGTTTGCACTTACGAATTGAGCCCGGATCCTAAAAATATCAGTCCCCTCCCCCCTGCTGCGTCCTCAACAGCGGCGTAGTCGGAGGGGGGGGGGGGGGGGGTCTTTTGTTTTGTTACCCCCCCCCCCCCCTATCTCCCTCCACACCCCAAGTCATAAATAAGCCACCTCAGCACCCCTTTCAGAAAATCTTTTCTGTCTTCTGCAGTGCAAAAATGTTCCAAAAGCCGGGATTTATTATTAAAAACAAATACCTCCGACTTGCATAATGAATACCAACAATTTAATTTTGTAAGTATAGTCGGGTGTTCCTAGGCTGCACTGATGATGTCTCCCGCATAGGAGACGAAACGTCTACTTATAAATTGCTGGTATTGTTGGGCTTCTGTAGTTTAACAGTACTATAAGATTTCTTTGGCAAGTTCGTGATATTAAACTGAAATCTTGGTAAGGCCAATTAGTATTTGCGTTGCATCCATAAATTCTGAAATTCAACACTAATGTGAGATCATGTAACCTTTCATTCGAAAACGATATCTGGTATTTCATGGCTGAATGGTTTAGCTCTTGCTCCAGGGACCATCGGCCAAACGCAAATGTGGGCCTCTCTGATTACAACGCGTATTTCGTGGGCAAAGCATCAAGTGCTTGTTTACCTGAAAAGTTTGCGACAGCGGGCGCAGATCGAATATTTGAATATTATAATTAGGGTGACCCGGGCAGACTGGCAGTCCTTTTTTTTGAGGTTCATTTCTGCCGTCCCTTCATTTTCTTCTGAATGAAGCGACCCGTTTTCGAGGGAGCGTGGATATTTGCGAAATCAGTGCTAATCGAGTGGAAGAAAAGTGAAAGGATGTTCGTTTGAAGAATAAACATACCGTAAAAATGTCGCCTCCCCAGGACCGTGTCCCCCTTAAATTTGGCATGCGATTGGGTACGGGAGATTTTTTCTTATATTTCTGAATTTGGCATGTGACTCGGTTGCCAAAATTTCGTCCCTATTGTTTGAAAATGGGGAAGCCGAAGAACTCCGGGAAAATGTGCGCTTTTAGATAGTAGAAAAACCTTTCTCTCTTACGCCCCTCCCTCGTGTTCCGTGTTCAACTGTGAGGATACCCGTCTTACCACGTGTATTTTAACGTACCGTATTTTGATAGTCCGGAGGGGGAAATTTGGGCTCAAAAATGAAAGATTTTGCTTAGATAGCCCGCACCCGGTGCATAGCCCGCACCCGGTGCATAGTCCGCACCTGGTGCTTTGTCGACACGAAAATCTTCTCATAGACGGCACACCTTTACAAATGTCTGCTTTTTAGCTCACAATAAAGCCTATAATGTGCATAAATCATCATTAACATACACTTTCGTGCACAAAATTCGTCACGTCTCGTCATAATAAAGGATCTTGAAAAACATAATTCCTGTATAGTCCGCACGCGTAGATAGTCCGCACAGCCAGAAATTTCAACTTTTAAACATGTATAGTCCGCGGACTATAGCCCGGAAAATACGGTACTTTTGAAAACAGCCATTATTCAGTGGCATTAAAGTGTTAGGGACGGAATGTTTTGCCGTTTCAGTTAATTACTGCAAATGTGTTATGCTTAAACACTATGGATCATACTTTCGAGCAGGCAAAACCTATATGTGTAGTCTAACAAATACATTTGAGAAAATTTCGTGTTGACCAATCGCAAGAAACCCATGACTTTAAGACGAGGGTAGAATTAAGAATCGGCCGTGTCTTGATTTCGCTATGAATATGATTGTGACAATTTCATGAAAGTTAGCTAAATATGAAAATCCCTGAGAAATGAACATATGACGCGAGCAATGAAAGAAATAATCAATGACAATTTCGCGAAGATTAGATAAATATGGCCATCTAACAATGATGGCACAACCTGTGAGATAAATACCATATGTTTTATGATCGAGGGGTTTAGCTCATTGAGTGCTTCGATTGCATTTATCCCCAATCATTCTGGGAAATCCGTCTCTAGCGCTTTATCTCAGAAGCTCTTATCAAAACGCTGTAAAAAAATTATTTGAATTTAACAGCTGTTGACATGGTTATATTCCCCCGAAGACGGTGACAATATAATTATCATTTAATCTACGTATATTCGGATCAGCAACTCCTGTCACACCTGTTTCCATTGAGTCTGTAAAAATGGCGACATTTTTTTTTTCTTTTTTGTTTGTTTTTGGAATGCTGCGTCCCCACCTGCTCGCCGCGAGGCCAAAGATGGCTCTGCGTCCTGTTCGGGCACGGGGAGCCACGCCGTGGATTAGCGAGGGGCTCCAGCGAACAACGGGAGACCTTGGGAAAAGCGTCTGTACTGTGGGACGGATGAAGATTGCGAACCAGGAGAGAGCTCAGAGTTATCGAGAAGAAAAGAGGACGATCATGGGCTCTGGTGGTTCTGGCGTGAAAATTTGTGGGCACCTGTTCAAGTGGGGTAGGGCACTTTCTTGACAGTGCGGTAGACGCTACTTCTTAACTGTTCCCGTTTTATCAATTGACCTCGCTCTGTGCGCATGGTTGTGGACAGGAGCGTGTCACGTAGCGAAAGATCGACACATGACTGGTCCAGCGAGCGTTTAGCTTCCATCCCAGTGTCAGCTCAGGGGTGAACAGAGGATGCATCCTGTTGGCTCCGTTGAGCTGCAGTGACCTAGAACGAGCTTTCACACGGCTTATCTTTCTGCCTCCAAGTTCGTTCAAAAAAGCTCTTTCTCTCTCCTTCCTGATGGCTCACTTTGCTTCGTTCAGAGAATCATCGAACTAAGTTATTGGCCAAACAAAGCCAAATGTAAAAAAAAGTAAAAATCCAGGGCTTTTTAGTCGGGTTTTCTACATGCAAAAAGTAAATATAAAAAAATCTACGGGACTAGCTGATTATTGCACAATAAACGTTTGTCGTGCACGGTCGAGAGTTTAATATCGATACATGCCCGCGAAGAAATGTGTAACATTGTCACGTACGCTGAAAAGTCTGTAAAAAAAAA